CAGCCCGAGGAAAACAGATCTCGTTTCGCGTGGAATTATCGATCAGGTGCCTCCTAACGTAACTAATGCCCCGATATTTCTTCGCTCCGCCATCGAGTTCGAAATTAATCCATCGTACACGTCGAATAAACTGCTGCAACGAGAAGGCTGATCGGCGAGTTTCCTAGTAATTCGAATAAATCAACCGGAAGCAAGTTGAAGTTCAGCCGAAACAAATTGCTCTTTGAAACGTATTATAAAGTCAATCGACCGATATTCCTGTTAATATGCTTTCTCGCTTTTCCGTGTGAAATCCGTACCTTCCTTTCTCTTTGATCTTTCAGTGATCTCGTAGAAAGATGTAATTTGAACGCAGTTGCTCCCTTATTGCCTCAGAACCTGGAATCCCTAAACTCGACTAAACCGATTCTCCGTAATCCCGATTGTACGAGTCCCCGAGGGCAATCATATTCCATATTAAAGCATAATTAAATCAACGAAAACCAATTTAAAATTAATACGAATGTAATTACTCTTTGGACCGTATTATAAATCTATAACCAATTAACGTTCGTATCTAGGGCTGAACTTTTCATTGCAAAACTTGTACGTCTTTCTTTCTCTTTTCATATTAATAAATATAATTACGATACAATTTCTTAATACAATTTAGACTTAATACTTGCTGCAGCAAATCTTTCGATCTTTAAATCTGGCTGAATCTTCGATTCTCTGTGATCTCAATTCTCCGAATATCATACGGGTAATAATATTACATATTACCATAATCAAATCGAGGAAAACTAATTTAAAATTAATTCGAATCTAATTACCCTTTGGACCTTGTAAATCTATATTTGGCTTACAAATCTATAGCCAATTAACGTTCGTATCTAGGGCTGAACTTTTCATTGCAAAATTCGTACGTCTTTTCTTCTCTTTTTATATTAATAAATATAATTACGATATAATTTTTTAATACAATTTAGACGGCAGCTGAATCTTCGATTCTCTGTAATCTCGATTCTTTGAATATCATTCGGGTAATAATATTGCACATTACCATAATCAAACCAACGAAAACTAATTTAAAATTAATTCGAATCTAATTACTCTTTGAATGAGCTATAAATTTATAGTCAATTAATGTTCGTATCTAGGGCTGAATTTTTCATTGCAAAACTTGTACGCCTTTCTTCCACTTTGATTTCTCAATAATCTCTTAACAAATATAATTACCATATAATTGTTTAATATAATTTAGACGGCAGCTGAATCTTCGATTTTCTGTAATCTCGATTCTTTGAATATCATCCGGGCAATAATATTGCACATTACCATAATCAAACCAACGAAAACTAATTTAAAATTAATTCGAATTTAATTGCTCTTTGGTTGGGCTATAAATTTATAGCCATTTAATATTCGCATCCGGAGCTGAATTTTTCATTGCAAAATTTGTACGCCTTTCTCCCTCTTTGATTTCTCAATACTCTCTTAACAAATATAATTACGATATAATTTTTTAATACAATTTAGACAGCAGCTGCCTTATTACTTACTGCAGCAAATCTTTCGATCTTTAAATCCGGCTGCATCTTCGATTCTCTGTAATTCCAATTCTCCGAATATCATACGGGTAATAACATTGCATATTACCATAATCAAACCAACGAAAACTAATTTAAAATTAATTCGAATCTAATTACTCTTTGGACCGTATTATAAACCCATAGCCAATCGATGTTCGTAACTAGATACGAACTTCTGCACCTTTCATTACGAAACCTATACGCGTTTCTTTCTCTGTAACTTCTTATGTTTAAACTTTTTATAAAATACGCTATTTCAACGAATATAATTATGATGCAATTCCTCGATATAATTTAAGTAGCTCTATCTGCCCGTTACCGATTGCAGCAAATCCCTCGATCGTTAAATCCGGCCAAATCTCCGATTGTCTGAAATCCCAGTTCTCCGAAACTCACAGGATATAATAATACTCCAAATTGCCACGGTTAAACCGACGAAAACTAACTTGAAATTAATTCCAATCAAATTAGTACTATAAACCTATAGCCAAAACTAATATTCGTATCTGAAAACGAACGTTCGTATCTTTCCATACGAAACCTGTACACCTTTCTTCCTCTTTAACTTCTCGATAATCCCTTAACAGATATAATCACGATACAATCCCACGGTAAATATAATTTCAACGTAGCTGTCTCTTCACTACAGCAAATCCCTACAGTCGCTAAATCTGACTAAATCTCCGATTCTCTGTAATGCCAATTCTCCGAATCTCGATCGTAATATTGCAGATTACAACGATTAATATTCCTATGCTTGAGAGATCTAACCGATCGATCTTGCAATTTCCTAATCTCAATAGTTTCCAGCCTTAAATCAGCAACGTTCCAATCTGCCGCTGTTCCACTCAAACTTCCACCGTTCCACGCCCATAGCCGTGTCAACGTTACCAAACGTCGTGATCGTTATGAAGATACGCTGGTCCACGTGTCGATATGTTCTAATTACAGATTCAGGTCGATCCACTGCCATCTGTTCCCACACGTACCCAATTGTCCGCACAGATGATGACCAGCCGGACGATCCAAATCGTAACAAGAAGAGAGATGCGCTCGATCGGCCGTTGCATCAACGGTCGGTTGTCGGTTGACCATTGAGATCGGCCCTCGTCTCGACCTAATATCGTTGTAATTTGTTATCTCGTAGTATTTCCTTTTGTTGCTGTGTCTTGTACATAAGTGTAGATACGCGTCTACGTGGCTCCATCGACGTTTATGAGTCAGGAAGGAACGTTTTATCGACAACTTTTCATATTTTAGAAGATGTATTTCCTTCGCAGATGGGAATACCAGAGAGCTTCCTTTTTTTTTTTTTTTTTTTTTTTTTTTTTTTTTTTTTTATGTATTTAGTAGTAATTAGAAGCGTCACAGCTAAGAACAGGGAAGATTCGTGGCTCGACGAGGTCATCGAAGCGAAACTCTTTTATATGAGGCAGCGATAATTAGGGGCGTGAGACGATCTGAAGACTTCTTTGCAGACAGCACCGTAAACGTCAAACGCAAAATTTTTTAGGAGAGAGATGAAGCTTTTCTGGTTTAAAATTATTTCCGAAATTTCGTTTCTTTTAATTACCATAAGATCTTAAGCGTACAATAATCCAAATGCATCACAAAATTTTCTTTTTTTTTTGTACTAATATATTAATCAGAAAAAGAATTGTTTTTCTAGAAAAGTCTTTATTGTGCCTCTTAGTTGCAGGAAAACTGAATGTGCCATTCATTTAGATTTTCAATCACTGTACCAATCCTGTTTGTTCTTACGTAACTTGTATAAGAACAGAAAATATACTTCTTCCGGATGTTCTTTTTATTTTTGTTAAAAAAATATATTTTATAACATACCGAGTAAGAAGTGTTATTAAATCGATGATATTTTTCAATCTGCAGTTGTTGTTATCAATCGAGGGACTTTCGACGTTTCGACAAAGCGTTGAGCACAGGGCGGGACGGGCAAATGAAAATTTGAAAGGTAAATGATAGGACAGAAAAAATACGATAATTTTGTGAAATAAGGTTCACTGGACCATTGAACGAACATTATAGTATAATACAGGTAAGTAATTATCTGTAACGCGGTGAAAAGTAGGTGGTATGAAAGTTGCCAGTACTGGAAGAATATCAATTTTAGATTTTCTTTTGTTCGCCATCGTGTACCTTCGAGACGAGAAATCGCGCGTACTGTTAGGTCGTCCGAAAAGTTTCTTTCGCTTTATAGGGAAATAATGGACACATTTTCCGTTTTATATTATTTTATCGAATTACGTATGATCCATTCCGTTCTATCAAACTAAGGATTACAACGTCCGACAGAACTTGAAGATACGTTGTTGCAAATAAAATAAAGACACTTTTCGGACAACCTAATACTTAATAAGCGTACTCTCGTACTTTGCCGAAATATAAAATTTCTATTGTTGGATGAGTATCATCAGGCATCGACGATTAACGAAATAACGCAGCATGGTTAGGTATACGGTCGTTATTCTTTAAAAACGACGAAGGATGATAAAAGAACGCTGAGCTTCTCTCGAAAGTCAAAATACGCGCGAATAATCATTAGATCGCGGATACTTATGCGAATTCACATTTCCGTGAAAATATTTGCAAGAGTAGCTTCTAAGCGAACATATTAAACGTTGCGAAGAACGTTATTTTCCACGTTTCACACGTCTTTGCACGATACGTATTCTACGCATTTTTCACCTATGTAATTTCCTACGAAACGCATGAACATCCGCAGTCTACGCGTTATCGCGCTTCTCACAATTAGCAAGAGTAACGATATTTTATTGCTCTTTTTTATTTTGTTGCTCGTTCCAGTAACAACGGCGCAATTTCTCGAAAGAGTATCTTTTCTTTAATTTAACAGCCTGTCGTGCGAGTCTCGTTCCTGTAGTCTCGTACTTGCGTATTCTTTCGCATGTTCTACCAACGAATATCAAGAGAGAGAAAAAAAGAAGTTGGTTTTAATATTTAGATATTTCGCGGGAACATTTCTCTTATCGTTCGTGGAGTTTATTATATCGTCACTACTGTACATAAGGAGTATATTATATTTGACGTTTGTATATATGGAAATTATAAAATGGAACACCCGGAGTTATCGTTGCAAGTTGGAACGTTTTCGACGACGCGGCTGAAGCAACGAGGAATTCCTCGTGTTTGGG